GGGGTGATTTGCTTGTTGGGTAACAGCCTATCCTCCATATTATTTTACCCAGACTTTGTGCCCTGGAGAGGACACTCCAGCTTTGTGTACAGCGTCAAAACACTAGATGCTGTACCAAGTCCTCCATATAGAGCCCGTTACCATAGTCTCTCGAGGCTGAAGGATGCCTATGAGGTTTCTGTTTTAAATCTGAGCTCATTTCAAGGTACTTTTGACTCACAAAACTGCTCAACTTGGGGCCAAGCTATCTGAGAGATTGTCTCTCTCTGTATGAGACAGGAATTTGGGATCTTTAAAAGAGGCCCTGCTGTGTGTCCCACCACTTTTGAGAGATTAGACTTTTATAATTAAAATATAAGATTAAATATGATTAAATATAATTAAAAGATAATTAAAATAAATTATAATATGCTTTGTTTTCACTTATAAGGACAACGTGTCTTATATGTTCTGTAAAGCCATCCAGGGCCTCAAATTAACTATCTATAACAACTGAGGAAATGCTGCAAATTAAAGAAGAAATTTAACTTAAATATCAACCTAAATGGATCTATGAAAAGATCTATTCCATTCAGTATGTGGGGCTCTAGACACTGGGCATGTCCCCCCCCAAGCAAAGGTGATAACTATGACCTCACATGGTAAGAGGGTGATTCCATAATAGAATTTTTAAGAGGAGAAGATTGTCTATTCTGTTATGAATCTGCCTCAATCCTCAGTTGGCAAATTAGCCTGCCTTTGTGTTGTAGCACAGTTTTCTTTACATACCTGATGTCTTAGGCATGTAGCAGTTTCTAATTCTGAATATTTTGCATGTGTGGAAGGATAATGTTATAAGAAGAAGAAATATAAGAAATATTCGTTCACATTAACTTGTGATCTAAATCCTAATGTTAAGACAGACTGCTAGTTTGTAAGATGTGCCTATTATGGCTCATCAGAGCACAGCTTCAGATGCCAGGGCTAGCCCTACCATTATGCAGTAAGGTGCCTGGTGCTAGGGAGCAATGGTAAGGCACTGCATGTGCTACTTGTTTTACCCCAGCCCTCCCCCCAAAAACTAGCCCATTTGCCTCACGTACAGTGAAAGATGCTATTCTGTGGGTACTGCTGGAGCAAGATTCAACGGCTGATCAGATGGACTTGGAAGGAGAGTGAAGGTGTCTTCATCTCCTTTACCCCAGGCAATAAAATGTATTGGGCTGGATTGCCAGAAAGTAATAAGATCACCTTCAGGTTTACTTTCGTATGCGGCTCTTCACATATTGGTACTTATATGGTATTTTGTTGTACTTTCCAACAGGTGTTCATCCCCATTTACCCTCAGTGTCTGAACAAGCTCAAGTGGGACATTCTCTTCCAGCTGAAAACATTCATGACTCTAGACCAGCAGAGTGAGAAGATTCACATATTGCAAATAATGCAGAAGAGTGTGACTTAAATCCCACATCAGGCATACTGTCTTCAATAAGTGTTGCCTTTGGAAGCCAAAGCTTCCCCTTCCAGGCTAATTGCAAAATGGCACCTCCATTTGTTGGGCGTAACTTTCACTGTAGGGGCACATGCAGTTCTGAAGACAGGAAGCATCCTGTGTCTTGCTGAACAGATCTTGGAGCATCCTTGAAGGCTTTGCCCAAAGTCTGATAAGGAAGTGGGCATCCCACTCCCCTATACTTGAAAGGAAGGGCTATAAGGGAGTGGCATTACACTTTCAGAAATCGTGTGACCTGGGCCACAATCAGGGATTTCTGTGCTTTTAAAATGAATCACATTGCTATTTGTTTCTGTTTGTAGCATTGACTGACCTTGTCTGCGGACTAAGGACTAGCTAAGATAAAACTGGTCAAAGCATACTGTGGGTCCGGATATATTCTATTTAAGTTTCTGAAAACATTAAAAATGAGGTGTTTCAGCACCAGAGATGAAGACAGGATAAGGAAAGTGATTCAGCACAGCCCTCTTCAAACTTGAAATATGGGGGCAATTACTTGAGGACACCTAAAATACCGCCTTCCCTGTATGAACCTGCAGAGCTATTAAGATTTTCTGAAGAGATCTAGAGCACATGGCTATTGTCTGCCTCATAGCACTTCTCCTCTGGCACCTCCTCTCTGTTGTTATATGGGATGCAGCATCTGTTTTGTGTTTTAGACATTTTGGAAAGATGCTCTTGTTTACTTGGCCTTAGTTTGTGTTCTCTGCTGCTTAGATGTTATTTGCTGTTCTATCATTTTCAGTCTATTCTTCACTTTTTGTTACAGTTCACTTTGATATTACTTTATGACAAGTAGTTTAGCAGTCATGCTAACTAAACATAATGAATACATGATAATGCTTATCAAGATCCTACAAGGCTGATCATTGAAACAATCTGTAGTGCAGCACAAGAATGATAATCATGTTGTCCTAACTTCAAGGGTTGTTTTTTAAAATTCTAAAGAGTTTACTTGGGAAGCATTTTGAATATTATCTGCAGCACTCTTTAAATATTGTATCCTGCCAGGAAGAAGAACATGATGCCTTGTCTTCAGGCATGAGCTTTAGAATTGGGCCAGAATGTTACCACTTGTACCTTCTACTCGGCAAAATGTTCACTCCCACGCATCTGGCATATGTTCATTATCTGTCTTCACCTGTTTGCCTTATATACACTCATTAATAAAATTATTTTTCTATTGCTTTATGTTGTTTCTGCTTTTTGTTTACTGTAATCAGCTTTTACTGGTCCAAATCTCTCTGTTGGAGTCAATCACGTGTTGTTCAATTGAGCATGATATTATTAGGCTACTGGGAAATAATTAGGGCACAATTTTAATTTACCCAGGGAAGGGACTGAAGGGCAGTAACAGTCTTCATATAGAATTATCCAGTGCTAGATGATCCCAGCAGACAACTACATGATCTGTACTATGGTTGCTGGGAGTGGACAGAAGTAAGAGCAGCTGGTATGTGGCTGCAGTCCCTTTATGTATGTCAAAATATTCAGAGGGGCTGTTTTTGGATGAAATGCTAATGTGTGAAAAAGTGCAACACATACAATGGAAAAAAATACACATGCTTTTATCTCTCAGGTAAACCGATGTTGCCATGCCCACTCCACAGAATGCAGACTAGAAAGCCATGTTCCAAAGTCCAAACCCTTTCCTTGGGGTAGGCAACCTGAGGTAGAAAAGCTGTATTGGACCAAAAGCTCTACAACCATGTTTTGTGTGTGTTTTCCAAAATATGTCCCCTCACCTTTTGAAATAAAAAAAGAGGGAGGGGCTTGGAGTTAGCAGAGACTGTCACTTGAAATCAAGGTCAAAATAATCCATACTGTAAAGAAACAGTAAAGAAATATAGGGACAAAAAGTAACTCCTTTGAAATGTGGTTTTGGAGAAAAGCCATACAGCCACACAGACAACTAGAAAGGCAGAAAAGTGGGTGCTCAATCAAGCCAAGCCTGAATGCTTATGAAAGCAAAAATGAGTAGACTGAGGCTATCCTACCTTGAACATATAATGAGAATAGAGAACTAACTAGAAAAGACAATATTGCGCAGAAAATTGATGGGGGGGGCAGTAGTGCGGATCATACTCTTCTTAAGCCATTAAAATCTTTTAAACAAGCTAACTTCGGAGTCCTACAGGACTCTTCATCAGGGTTGGGGATGGGGGAAGAAAAAGAAATGGCCCTCAAAATGCATGGGCCAGATGCTGGAGCCAGACCCTTTTGTTTAAAGTAAATTTCAAAAAGAAATCTGAAGCCTTTTAGAATCAACTTGAGGTATCAGTTTCATCCTGTGGCTTTATACTTCATTGTCTTTCTTTATTGCATAGTCAATGGGCTGCCAAGCACTCAGCATCTTTCCCCATCCCCTTATACTGAAGCATGCAGCTTCTTTTCACTGGAAACAGAGGCAGTACGAAACATGGCAACCCCATAACAGAAAAGTTACAGATTAAATGTAGTTTATTTTTAATTATACAGGCTACACATTGCCCCCCCAGCAAGCTGGGTACTCATTTTACCGACCTCGGAAGGATGGAAGGCTGAGTCAACCTTGAGCCGGCTACCTGGGATTTGAACCCCAGGTCGTGAGCACAGTTTTAGCTGCAGTACAGCGTCTTAACCACTGCGCCATGAGGCTCTTTTTACACACTAGCAAAGACACAGTCAATTGCATCCAAACAGAAGCCAGAAACACATGTTAGAGATAGTCCATAATTGCAGCTGAAAGCATGTTAATGTTGTAGAGAAGTGATGGAAAGGTTCAGCTATATTGCGATGTATCCCCCCTGTTGGGATGGTTATGTTCAATCTGTTTTCTAAGGAGTACCCGAGATACAGCTAATCACAAACAAGCCTATCCCTTCTTCACTGTTATTCAGAACTTCTGTGATGACCCATAATGGTTTCTCCTTTTTTGGAATGATTGGGATTGCAAAATTTCATTTTGGTTTCTGGCATGTGCGATCAATGTCACTTCGAAATAGTGTGTGTGTCCTAAAGTGACTTGATAGTGACATCTTGAGCAGGGTTGTGGCATGGCAATGTCAGGCCACTGGTTTGTTTGGAAGGGAGGTGCTCACAGAGGTAAGCCTTGTTGCCTTCGGCAGAGAAATGAAAAACCTGATGGAAGGACCTGTCTTTGGGTAAAGAAAATGTACCATCAGACAAATGCAGGTTCTTCTAGGACCCCTTAATTTTGCCTGCAGAATAGTCTCACTAGGTTGAGTCTTCTGTGCCTGACTGGCTAGGGTTACAGTAGGAATCCAATCAGCCTATCATCATTTTAGGATTTTGAATGGAACGAAGGAAGAAATGAAGGTGCAGCTTCAGTTTCAAGAGCAGTTTAATGGGTTGTCTTTCTGGCAGGATTACTTGCATGGAGGGTCTGCTTTACAAATTCACTCTGATGTGATTGACAGCATTAGTTTTGAAGTTTACTTTCATAGTATCTAGTGTACAAGGAGGTGACCCGAGGTGTGGATTAATTCTAACATTACACAAGACCTAACATTTTTGGAATCCTTCCCCATTCTAGTAGCCGTATTCATTTGGAGGGAGGATTTTAGGAATAAATGGTTTTTATTCTGGTTTCACAACCAAGCAGTAGTCAGAATGATAAACTCACAAACATGGTTGTTGTAGGTTCTTCGGGCTCTTTGGCCGTGTTCTGAAGGTTGTTCTTCCTAACATTTCGCCAGTCTCTTTGGCCAGCAACTTCAGAGGACGGGAGCCAGAACTCTGTCTGTGCCCTGGAACAGTTTTGTGAGATATTTGAGTATTTATAACTGTGGGGTCAGCTTTTGTCCTTTTCAGGAGATTGGGTGATTATGGTGATCAGTGGGGTTTTTTTGTTATGATAAGGGGGAGAGATGATCTATCACTGTGATTGATGGGTAGTTAGCTGGTCTTTTGCGTGCAGTGATCACTGTTCCTTGTGGCTGGATAGAGTTCGTTGACCTTTTGCAGGCTGTATTTTTCAGTGCTGGGAGCCAGGCTTTGTTGAGTTTTAGACTTTCTTCTTTTTTGTTGAAGCTCTGCTGTTGTTTGTGGATTTCAATGGCTTCCCTACAACCTACAACAACCATTAGATCTGAGCTGTGAAAGCCTTCGAGAACTCACAAACAGTTACCCAGGGTGATGCACCTGGTGCACTGTTTTGTGCTAGTTTTTGTTTCAGCAAACATCACCTTTTCAGCTCATCATATGCCAAGCAAAGAAAAAAGCACAACAGATTCCTTGTCTTGCTTTCAGGAAGACCATTTTTGTGCTGTGGTGCACAAAGCAGTGCTGCACCTGAATCAATTCCCCAAGGACCTGCAGGTTCTGAGATGTCTCTTGGGTTCATGGGGAAATGGACTAACCAGCCTCAGGAGATGTGATTCTTAGGTACTTAGCAGCACTGAAGGACAGAGGGCTGCCTCCAAAGACAACATCCATACTTTTAGCCATCATTAATTTTTTAGCAAGTTGTATGAACAATGATCCTTGCACATCTGTCCAGGCACAGAAAATAGTGAAGGATTGGCAGCTGCTCATGCCACATCAGCATAACTACTGGAGACCCATTACATATCAGCTGTAGCCCAGGCTCCTTCAGAGCCTTCCAGAAATATCTTGGGAGCCTTACAAGGTTCCCCTCTTTCAGATGGCTTTCACACTTGCCTTCTTCAGTGATTTGCAAATTGCTGAGGTAGTGGCCAACTCTAAATGGGACATGATGGCCAGAGCCCTGCAAGTTAACGATGCATCCATGGTGAGAGATCACAGGAGAGTGGTCCTCTGAAGGAGCAAGACTGGTCAGAAAGGCCACAGGCAGAACATATCTTTGTGTAAGACAGCTAGCGAAGCAGTTTGCCTGGTCCATGCAATGACAGTGTTCTCAGATGCCCTGACCCACTGGTGAAGGTTTTATTTATATTCATTCAGATGGGATGCTGCTTACCTGTTTTTAGTTTTACAGTAAGGCTGACCAAGATAGGTTTGCTGGTAGCAGAATTTAGAGCTCTTTTTTTTTTTAGGATTGGCAAGGCTACAGCTGCAGTGGAATTAGGTTCCCCCTCCCCTCCCCAGGAAAGATACATGAAGTGGGCAGATGGCACTCTGAGGTATATAAAGGGTACATTAAGCCTCACGTGATGCAAGACTGTTAATGGCTGTTGTCTTTGATTCAGTTAGAGGAGTAAAAATGGTCTGGTTGTTTGGGCGCAGTATCATGTTTTGAACATGGAAATATGCAGCAAGTTCCCATTGGGTTTCCACCTTGACTTGGTAGGCCAGCTTTATATCAAGTGCTCTGAGACCAAAAGAATGTGTTGGGAATCAGTGAGGCTTGCAATCTGGTGCTGTATGGAAATGTTGCCCCTGCCCCTGCCCCCCACATATGCTGGCGATGCAGGAACCTGGACCTCATTTTCTCCACAGAAGAAGATTTCACATTTCTGGGGCTGTGGTTGCCTGCATCCACTTTGATATGGTGCAACTTGTTTGAGAGATGGGTGTGGTGTAGGGCCCTGAACCACAGAAAAGTAGACCTGGTCTGGTAAACAGTCACACAAGCAGCAGGCCAAGGAGCAAACTCAAGGAGACAGTGGGCTGTGGATCTATCATTGGGACATTGTACATTCCAGCATTGGCCTCTTCATGGATGATGGAGTCCGCTTTTCAAATCTTGGACAGGTTAGTGGACATTAGGCAAGGCCTCTTGGAGTGGTGTAGCAGGAATATATTTGTGAGAGGCATTCAGGACAGGGACGTTCCAGCTCACCTCTGGTAGGGATTCTGTGCATAGGAGCAGATGCTAAGGAAGCATAATGCTAAGGGAGCATAATGATCATCCCTGTTCTAGGCAAGAGATCCCATATGGGGGGGATTTGGGAGTGGGGGATTGGTAGAGCTGTGTCCAGCTTGGGAGGGCCACCACAGCTCCTTCCACAACTGATGACAGTGGATCTCCTATTTCTTGATCTTCCCCCAGGACGTACATGTGGTCACCCATTCTTGATTGCCCAGCCTGGGACTGGGAGGTTGACACTGAATGGCAGATGGGTCACCCATTTCCTTGATTCACTCCTTACGCTGCACCATTTGTTTTGCTGCAACCTATACAGGCTGGCCTTGTATCATCCATCTATAATTCACTGTTCAAATGATAGTGTTCAATCGTATTCGTATGTGTGAATGGTGGGAA